TATATGGTCTGACATAAATCCTTGGTTAAATAAGTGTTTTCTCATAACTTTTCATGTGTCTTGATTTTATAAATACCGTCTTTTATGATTCAGATGTTTTTAATTTTTTAAGTAAATCAAATCTGCGTATATTTTCTTGATCCTGGTTTTGTCTTACTTAGCAAGGCCTTGTACAGCTCAGATTGATTTTTGGGGGGGCTGGCCAGTATGGGGACCCTAACCCTTGACCTTGCTGTTGTTAAAACACGATGCTGTAACCAACTGAGCTAACTGGCCAGCCCTTTCAGACTGATTTTTAAAACCACTTGTATATTCTTCAGATAATTTTATAACATTACCTTTTACATTCAGTTTCTTAATTATTCTAAATTATTTTTATAAATGGAGTGAAATAGAGTTACTTAGTTTTGCTTTCCTAACAGACAAGTGTCCCATTTCTTGAGTAGTTTGCCCTTTACCTACTCTTTTAAAAGTCCATCTTAAAACACACAAACAAACACAAAAACAAATAAATAAATAATTAAATAAAAGACTACCTTTACCACAGACATTTACACATGGAATCCATTCTGGACTTTCTGTTTTATATATGTAGAAATGCCTGTTACTACTGTCCAAGACAACAGAAATATTTCAAAACGCACAGGAAATGGCAGGCAACATTGAAACAAAGTTAAACAGTAAGTGAGAAAAAATATTTTAGCTGATGAAAATATTACACCAAAGAACAACCAAGAGGGCCAGCCCGGTGGCGCACTCGGTAGAGTGTGGTGCTTAGGAGTGCGGCGGTGCTCCCGCCAAGGGTTCGGATCCCATATAGAGACCGGTCCGCTCACTGGTTGAGCGCGGTGTGGGCGCAACACCGAGGGTTGCGATCCCGTTACCGGTCACGAAAAAAGACAAAAAGGAAAAAAAAAAAAAAAAAGAACAACCAAGAAAACAGATCTGTAGCCACACCCCAATATGAATTAAGTACCACAATATTTACATCTACAAAAAGTATTTGCAGATATGAAAGAACACCCTAAATCAGAAATTCAACCCTCAGCCTTTCCTGCTCCCCAGTCATCTTGGCAGCTGCTCTCGGTTGGAGGCCGTCCCACACCTGAGGCAGGAAGATCATGGCCACAAAAAAAACAAAAAGCTCACTGGAGCTGATCAACTCTAGGCTCCAACTTGTTATAAAAAGTAGAAAGTACCTGCTGGGGTATAAGCAGATGCTGAAGATGATCCGACAAGGCAAAGCAAAACTGGTCATCCTGCCAAAAGCTGCCCGGCCTTGAGGAAATACAAAATAGGGTGCTACGCCATGCTGGCCAACGCTGGTGTTCATAAAACACTGGAGCATGCACACCGGCTGTCATCGATCCTGCTGATTTTGATACCGTTAGAAGCATGCCAGAACAGACTGGTGAAAAGAAAATTACACAAAATTTTTCTTTACTAAAACTGGCCAGAACTTGTTTTAAAAAGAAAAAGAAAAAAATTCAACACTCAGAACTGAAATGGACAAAAAACAAAACAAAAAACTAAGAAGATATGAAATAAGAGTTAAAATTAATTCAGGAAAGTTATTAAAGTTATCTTAAAAATGAAGATTAACAAAGGAGGAATTGGTAAAGGGACATGAAAATCAATTACATTATATATTGATAAATTGAAAAAGAAAATGAAGATGAACAAGTCTAAGGGAGAATATTACTGGACAGATAATAAGGACACTAAAGACAGGAATAAAAACAGACAAGAGAACAAAAATGAAATAAAGAGCTAAAAAGAATCAGAGAAAAAAGTGACAGAGCAGACAGGCAAAGAAGATCCAGTAAACACAATGTGAAGTTCCTAAGGAGGAAAAGTTAAATAGTTAACAGAACTAGTGTTTAAATTATACAATGAAACTAGAAATAAAAGAAGGCCTAAATCCACATACGGAAAGGGTTTATCATGTTCCTGGAAAAACTGACCCAGATGATGACCTTTGACATATTGTAATAAAACTACTAAAGTTTAAATATTTTTTATTTTATATATTTATTTGTTTATTTGTGGCTGGTTGGTAAAGGGATCTGAACCCTCAACCTTGGTGTTATCAGCACCGTGCTCTAACCAAGTGGGCCAACCTGCCGGGCACCTAAGTGTTTTTAAAAAATTCTTCACTTCTTCAGTTAAAGCATCCAAATGCCTAACTAGGAAAATAAGTCAGGCTGGCATTGGACTTTTCAAGAGAAACATACAAACTGAAATAATATTTTCATAAAATTCAAGAAAAGTGTGAGCCACAGATTTTATGCCCCACCAAGCATCAAGGCTATGGAAAAGCAGTTTTAAATCTAAAAGAAGTGAATTCACGAGCCCTTATACTGTTCTCACAAGCGCTTCCTCAGGAATCTAGTAGAGGATG